AAGCTTTTGTCTCTCTTTTTTTCGTGTGTGCATGCGTGTACTTGGGTTTGTACTACATTAGATATAAATATGTATGTCGAAAAGATAGCAATGCTGCGGTGATGCTATAAGAGTTGAATTTGTGCCACATGATCGAACACACGTAGTTGTCAGGATCACATTACTCTTGGCGAATATAAGATTGCACCCCATTGTGTTGTTACCAGAATGCCCAGGATGTGAGCTGTGTAGAGTTTGCTGTGTGTGGCTCAGGATGCATAAAGTTTGTCTTCTGTTTCATTTCGCTGGAATTACATTCAGAAGGTTCTAAGCTGTCTGGAAATAGTACTGTTGTACCCTCTCCAGCTCTAAACAATCCCTTGGCTGTGAAGTTGCTGCATGTGTTGGTGCAGAGGAACAAAACCGAATGCCTTTTGCAACAACAAAAAAAGAGGAAGTGGAAGAAAGAAAACCCGAATGCGTGCAGTGATGCGTGTTCATCTCAGGAGCAGGAGAGTGCCGCCCATCTGACCCTGCATTTCCGCTGTTACATGAAGGACGCCAGGTCTGGCATTGATTTCAGAACTCTAACGCTAGAGTGTGCTCAATTGCTTCTTCGGCGTCCACAATCCGGGGGTGGTGGAGGAGGGTTTGCTCAGGCAGCGGCTCGCAGGGCAACAAGAAGAAAGATCTGAAATCAAATAATTTCCAACAAAAAGAAGTGCGTGTGTAGTATGTAAGTAGCTGGGACATGGAGGAAGATACGACGATCCGGTTAGTGCCCACTGAAGCAGACCGCGATATGCAGCAACTCTGCTCATGAACTCATCTTCAACAAAATGTGGCCGTGTTCTGCACCCGTGATTTGCTGAGGGAGGGACTAGTATGGAGGATTGGTGATGGCTCTCGTGTCAATATTCATCATGACAATTGGATTCCACGGAGTGGTTATATGCGGACACTGGGTCAGGTTTTTATCCAAGGTATTACTAAGGTTGCTGATCTGCTAAGCCCGGATGGCACTGCCTGGGATTGTGCGAAGATCGATGATATGTTCTCGGAGTCAGACGCTTAAGATATTAAGCAAATTGCGGTGGGTGGGCCTGCTACTGAGGATTTTCTTGCCTGGAATTGTACCAAAGATGGATTGTTCTCAGTCCGCTCCGCGTTCCACTCGCAGATGACTTTGAAAAGAGCTCGAATGCACGGATACTTCAGCCGACCAGCGTGACCAGCGTATCAGTATCGGATACCGTATCGGATACCGATACTCCTCTGATACGCCCCCGATACGTATCCCTGGAGTATCCGAGAATAAATGATTTAAAACAATTACAATACTCGAAGGATACTTTGCCAGTATGTTTTGGATACTTTTCCAGCCCAGGTAAGAGCCCACTCAGCCCAGTTAAAAGGCAACCAGCAACCCTATTGCCCCGATGCCCCCCATCCTTTCCCTCACAGCGTCTTTCCTCCCTCCCATGCTCACACCAGGCGGCGGCTGTGTCCCCAGCGGCAGCTCACCCAGGTCCCAGGGCCAGCGGCGGCGGCGGCTAGCCGGCGACAAGCTGCTCCTCCTCACCAACATCCCCTATCACACAGCAGCCATCTTCCTCCTCACGAACGTCCCCTCTCACGCAGTAGCCATGTATGTACACTTCTCTTCATTTCTCCTGCCCATCCAAGCTCATCTCCTCTTCTTTCTTCTCTGATCTCTGAAGATCTCTTATTCTCATCTCCCCAGATTGCTTTGAGTAGCTACAACGTATCCGTATTGGCACTTTTTTTGAAATGACGAATTTACGTATCCGTATTGGCCCGATACTGATACCCGTATCCATATCGGTGCATTCGAGGAAAAGAGGGAGCTCGGGACAGCCTGAGTCTTCGTCTTCTATTGATAAACACAAGGCATTTTTGGCGCTGTGGAAGAGAAATGTTCCTGGTAAAGCTAAGATCCACTTCTGGAGGATTCTTCGTAATGGGCTAGCTGTGGGATCAGAACTGCATAGGCGACATATTAAGGCTGGTGTATTCTGTGTTGCTTGTGGTAGGGAAGAGACTATCTGTCATCGGTTCTGGTCTTGCCCTCACTCTGTTCTTTTCTGGAGTTTGCTTCCAAGGGAGAAAGGGATTGGGGTTGCTAGTCCTCCTGTGTGGATGGATTCACAAAGGGAATTGGCTAACTAGCTGTTGGCTTGGCTCACTGGAGCTCGGGATGATGAGCGGGAGGCTATGATCCAGTCGGTTTATGTTCTATGGCTCGCTAGGAATGAAGCACGTGATGGGATTCAGATTGCACTGCCCCATGAAATAATGGAGAGGGTTGTGCATCTTTTGCATGAGTGGAGAGGTATCCATCAGCCTACTATTAAGGAGAGTGTTGTTCAGAGCAGGCCAAAGTGGGAGGTGCTGGAGGAGGGATGGATAAAGATTAACTCGGATGGCGCCGTGTCTAAATTCGGTGGCAAAGGTGGCGGTGGTGCTGTGCTTCGAGATCATAATGGTGCGTTTATTGTCGGCCTCTCTCATCACTTCCCCCACATTTCTGAACCGGAGGCTACTGAGATACTAGCATGTAAGGAGGCACTGCAGGTAGCTATTAACCTGAACTTTGATCGAGTGCATGTTGAGCTGGACTGCAAATCTGTTGTGCACAAGATCAAGCTTGATCATCAGGATCTCTCCATGGCGGGTCCTTGGATTCGGGAAATTAAGCAGATGCTGAACTCTCGGGTGGATTTTAAGGTCTCGTGGGTTAGTAGATTAGCAAATGCAGCTGCGCATAAGTTAGCTAAGGTTGGAGTTGGGGATGAGTTGTGTAATATCTGGTATGGTGTTCCCCCAGAATGTATCTTGAATGTAATATCGGATGACATTCCGAGCTTTGGTTCTTAAATAAAGTAATGGTATCACCCCTAAAAAAAACTATTTTTTTCCCTGAGAAAGAAAGGGGATAAGGCCATTTTCCTACTGGCCGGCCTTTTCATAATGGAGACTTTGCCAAACTGCAATCCCTTGTTTTGTTTGCCGGGAGCGGGCGGCCGAACTGGCCGGTTCTGCTCCCCTGACTTGTGTCCTCATGAAGATCACACAACAGGTTTTCCATTCAGGACATAGTCCCTTGCTGGTCATACATCATAATTCAATGATATCATATTCGCAGTCATGTTTATGAATATCTAGAGAAGAACAATGTAAGAAAAATCGCATACGTTTTCGCACACAACAGGACGCTGCTGCAACTATCTCTCGAAACTGTTGAGATTGTACCGAAGGTGAAAAGCATTGCTAATTGTTTAAGTCAACATGGGGATGTAGCTCAGATGGTAGAGCGCTCGCTTAGCATGCTAGAGGTATGGGGATCGATACCCCACTTCTCCAATTTCTATTTTTGTTTTTTGCAGATCTCAAATTCTCAATATTATTATATACTCTAAAAAAAATATCTACTTAACTTTCCAGAACTCCAAAACTCCCCAAACATGCGCAAATTCCTTATATAAAAGGAAAATAAAAGTATGTGCTCCAATATTATTTTTTGTTTTTTGCAGATCTCAAATTCTCAAAATTATTATATACTGTAAAAAAACTATTTGACTTCACTTTTGCAGAACTCCAAAACTCCCCAAACATGCGCAAATTCCTTATATACATAAAAGGAAAATTAAAAGCATGCACACAATCTCTGCTGCAAACTAAGGCGGTGTGATAACATGCCAAAGAGTAAAATGTCAGCATCATAATTTTGTTAACCATCCGTACAATAGAAAAAGAAAGAGCAAAATGATATCCGGAGTAACAGTTACAACATTCCAGAAAGAAAGGAAAAAGAAACTCATCTATATGTTCAGCCCTAAGTGCAACCAAATTTATCCAGTCAACCAATCTCACCAATGCAAAAAAGAAAAGGATAAAAAAAATAGTTCCCCTACACCAACCCAAAATCTATGGTGCCATCTACCTTCCTTCCAATAGTGTGCGCACGCACACGCACGTGTGTCAGAAATTCAAAATAGCTACCCGACTCGACGAAGCTCGGCTTACCAAAAAATTGCAAATAATATTTTAAAATCTAAAATAATATCGTGATTTTTTGTACATCAAACATATACGTGTTTGAACTATGTAATATTTTTAATGCATATTTTTATTCCTGTGTTACACAGAAAACAAATATGCTGATAATTGGACCTGCAATTTGCTATTGCGGGTCCGCTTTTTCTAGCGCAAAAATGAAGGTATTCTTTTATAAAATTAAATAATCTGTAACTCACCTACAAGATGCATATGTATTAAAAAAATAGAATATAGGCGTGTGTGCGCATGCGTTAAATATGCATTCATTTTGAAATTCCCCTAAGGCTGGTTGTAATGGGGAGTATCATATACTAGTATCATGCATATGATACTAGTGTATGATACTACCTTCCTAATGCTTAGTATCATATATTATTTTATTTATTGTCATGCATGACACATAGTGTCATAGCATTTATTATGATACGGTATCATGATATGATACTCAACTCTTTTTTTCTTTATTTAATTCTATGACACTTCATCAAAATTGCCTAGTTGGCATGCATGATACTAGCTACGATACTACCATTACAACCAGACTAAAAACACACGTCCTCTCCATCGTGGGCTTTCCAATGTCCAGGCCAGTTTTATGCTCTTCGTTCTCACTCTCAGGGCCTACACAAAAAGCATAACCCACGTCCCACACCTCATTCTTCTGGAAAAAAAAAGCATCCCACATCGTAGGGCGAGATGAGCAGCCTCCGCCGCCACCGCCCCTCGCCGGCGGCGGTGCCGCCGCTGGAGGACGAAAACCTCCTCTCCGAGATCCTCCTCCGCCTCCCCCATAGCCGTCCTCCCTCCCCCACGCCTCCCTCGTCTGCAAGCGCTGGCGCGGCCTCGTCTCCGATCCAGGCTTCTGCCGAAGGTTCCACCGCCGCCACCGCCGCAACCCTCCCCTCCTCGGTTTCTTCCAAGTAGACGACGGGCTCTCCTTCATGCCTTCCCTCAAGGCCCCGGATCGTGTCTCGCCCGAGCGCTTCTCCTTGCAACACGAAGATTTGGTCGACCGCTTCTTCTCCCTTGGATGCCGCCATGGCCTGGCACTCATCTACCTTCGCAAGCGTCTCCAGCTCCTTGTGTGGGACCCCGTCACCGGCGACCAGCACCACATTGCCGTCCCCCCGGGGTTCGACACGGAGACATCCCCAATCAGCGGCGCGGTGTTTCGCTCTGCCGGAGACGTACAACACTTCCATCTGGCTTTGGTAGGGAGCAGTGAGAGACAAATTACGCAAGCAGTCGCCCGTGTTTACTCGTCGGAAACCGGTGTATGGGGCGACCTTATCACAACACCGCTTCAATCCGAGGATGCTGCCCATTTTCGCATTGCGGTTTCTATGATCAAGCCTGCTGTGCTGGTTGGGGGTTGTCTTTACTGGTTGCTTGATGGGAGCTTGGGTGGGATCCTTGAATTTGATATGGATCGGCAAAGACTAGCTGTGATACCTATGCCAGTAAATGACCTAAGGTTTTTCCACTTCTCGATGATACGGGCAGATGGTGGTGGATTTGGTCTCCTCGTTTTATCAGGCTTCAGTGCCCAATTCTGGAAGAGAAGGATCAATTGCGATGGTGTTGCTTCATGGGTGTTGGGAAGAACCATTGAAATTGACAAGCTACTTCACTGTGAACCAGATTCGAATGGGAGCCAATTAATACTAGGTTTTGCTGAGGACAATAACGTGGTTCTTTTTTGGACAGTTGATGGCCCTGTCATGTTACAGCTTGAGTCACTACAGTCTGAGAAAGTCTTGGGAACCAAAATCATGGCTCACTATCACTCATTTGAAAGTGTTTATACTACAGGTAATATCATGTTTTACATCATGGGTATAATAAAACCAAGTTAATTGTTGATAATTGTTTGAAGTAATATTGTGCACACACTTTCGTGTTAAGCTATCAATTTAGTAGTGGTATATTAGTTTTTTAATTGCGGCTTGATGAACTAGATTTTCAAAAGTGATGTGATTTGTGAAATTTTGTTTCATTTAGTTGATCTAAAGAGGGTCAGAGAATACCCTAAAGGATACCCATTTGCACCTCTACTGAGGAGCTAATAGTCCTAGTGTGCATCTTTCATTTTTACGATAATCAGATCCGGTTTCATTTATCTTTCTCTGGCGTTGTCTCCACATTGATTTTTTTTCAAACTACAGCTGTGAGTTTATCTAAGTATCTTGATGCCTCCTCATGTCTGTTTGGCTTTTTGTTGGAATGTCCTTGGTTGTTTGACTTTGTATGCTTGCAGAAAGAGGAATTGGTGGTCCTGAAGCTGATCTTTTGCACAACACCTGAGATTCTTGTCCAGTTAGATATGCTATTGTGATTTACTGGTTACGCAGGTAAGCTTACCTTCTGCAAGCAGGTTGGGGCACTTGAACTCTTCTTAAACAAAATGTACGGCTTTCCTTTTTACTGCCACTCCTCAAGTAGAAGAGAGGACCCAGATTTTCTCTACAACACTTTGCTTAGATGTTGCCCACCTGGCAGTGGTGGAGCTTGAAAGAAATATGAGGGGCGAAGTTAAGCAGTGGTAGGCACAATATTTGGAGAATGGTTTTTTCATATTCTGGAGAAATCGACCATGCAAAACAAAATTACCCTTCCATGAAGAAAAACATGATTTAGATTACCAAAATTGTAAATATACATTATTCTTGGCAACTTTAAATATCTCAAATAATTTGGACAAGTTAAAACATAATGAAATTTAAATTGCAAATTGCTAGATGATTGATTTTTATAGTCTAGTCTCTTAATTGCAGCAAAATATAATGTTTGCACTAGTGGAAGTGTATTTATTAAGTTAACAAGGAATGGATGCATCGGGCACGACAATGGCTGTGACTGAGCGAAACTGATTTTCACTTGTTAGGAATATGAACGAAATAGATCCCATACTGCCTTTTTCTCGCTAATCCCAGGCATGTCCAAGGATGTGCTAGAACTTATTTTGAGTGGACCGGTGGGGCAAGTGAAGCTGAACGCCAGGGCCTAACAGTCTTGGAGATGGTCCAGTGGCTGGCCACCTGTCACGCTTTCATGGCACACTGCATATTTGACAGTCTTTTCTCGACGCCCTGCTTCTTCATCCCTTCATTAGCAGCTCTCCATTCTCTTCCTCATGCCTTCACCCATCTACCTTCTCTTGTATTTGCTGATATTCTGCCCCCTCTCTATTGGATGTGCTCTTTCAGTTGCCTTCCCTGTCCATCCAACCGCCTCACTTTCAGCTAGCTCCTCCCTATTACTCTCCCAGTTCCTTCTGTTAGTGCAGGTTATTCTCCCTCTACTCCTCTAATGGCTGATGACTTAGGACCCTTCCCCTTTTGTGCATATGTTTGTGTCTGCTCATAGATGATAATGATGTCACATTAGTGGTAGCATAACTAAATACATCATCTTTCATGTGCTTCATGGATGCTCTTTTGTTTTACTTCTACCATTTTCTACATTGCATGTGATCATTTTGTATGGTTAAGGATATATCAAGTCCTACTGTAATTTGTACGTTCTTCCCTCTCGTTCCCTTCATACTTTCTTTATTCGTACGGGCTTATAGCTATGCCATTTGCACATTTTACACTGTTGATATTTGGGGTCATTATGGTACCTAGTGAAATAATGACTATTAGGATATTTATTCTAGTGTTAGCCTGTTTGCTTAAATATTTTCTCAGCATATCTCGCAATGTTTGTCTAATTGGAATATGTATGGGCGGCCTATTTTCTCATTATTTGGTCATATTCGATGTTCAATACTTCATATTAAACACATGACCAAAATGGCTGGATTCACCATAAATACTGCTTTAATCTTGAATTGCATTTTTACTTAACATTTATCATTATAAGTGGTGGCCAAAGTATTGTTTTGATGTTGTACGGATTAAAATAGAATGTCATATGTATTGTAGATTGAAGGAAGTGTATCTATTAATAAGACGATGCATGATCCCTTAATTGATTCTTCGACTGAATGAATCTAACTAAATTTGATTTGTTAGCAACTAGCTAGGTAAATCAGATGTTTCTCCTTTCCTATTCCATGAGCCCCTCATATGCCCATCATAACAAAAAATATTTTAAATGATTTGGTGAGCTAGGATCTTCGGAATTGGCCTCCTATGGAGTTCTTAAAGCCACTAATCTTTTAGCCTCTACTAACATCAAATGTAGCCAAAAAACTTGATGTTGGCGATGGAATTTCTAGGCGTGCCACTATTTTGCAAATCACCTATTGCTTCTCTTTGTTCGTATTGCTGGCATTGTGTTAATGCTGAGAGGATCCAAATTTGGAGATTTTGGTAGAAGTCCACAACACTAGTGTAGCGACGTTTACTGTTTGAGTCGTACAAAAATTGGGCGATATAACTTTAATAGATTTTGCATGAATGACTTGTACAGATTGGCTTGACTGATGAAATTGATTGCTCTGCAGGTGTCTGGAATTACAGTCCGGTGGCAGATGCAGAAACGGCTTTTTTGCTGTAGGTTCTTCCATTTTATATGCTGTGTTGGTGCTGGCATTATTCATTAGTCAACTGGCATGAAGACACGTTTCGCTTGTTTGTGTTGGCGCTGTCGGTTATCTCGCTTGCAAGCGTTTGAGGCAAGCCAAAGTCTTCTGTCCTGTGTTGTGTCTGGTCGAGATTGTAACTACTATTCTCTGATTAAGCTTTTGTCTCTCTTTTTTTCGTGTGTGCATGCGTGTACTTGGGTTTGTACTACATTAGATATAAATATGTATGTCGAAAAGATAGCAATGCTGCGGTGATGCTATAAGAGTTGAATTTGTGCCACATGATCGAACACACGTAGTTGTCAGGATCACATTACTCTTGGCGAATATAAGATTGCACCCCATTGTGTTGTTACCAGAATGCCCAGGATGTGAGCTGTGTAGAGTTTGCTGTGTGTGGCTCAGGATGCATAAAGTTTGTCTTCTGTTTCATTTCGCTGGAATTACATTCAGAAGGTTCTAAGCTGTCTGGAAGTAGTACTGTTGTACCCTCTCCAGCTCTAAACAATCCCTTGGCTGTGAAGTTGCTGCATGTGTTGGTGCAGAGGAACAAAACCGAATGCCTTTTGCAACAACAAAAAAAGAGGAAGTGGAAGAAAGAAAACCCGAATGCGTGCAGTGATGCGTGTTCATCTCAGGAGCAGGAGAGTGCCGCCCATCTGACCCTGCATTTCCGCTGTTACATGAAGGACGTCAGGTCTGGCATTGATTTCAGAACTCTAACGCTAGAGTGTGCTCAATTGCTTCTTCGGCGTCCACAATCCGGGGGTGGTGGAGGAGGGTTTGCTCGGGCAGCGGCTCGCAGGGCAACAAGAAGAAAGATCTGAAATCAAATAATTTCCAACAAAAAGAAGTGCGTGTGTAGTATGTAAGTAGCTGGGACATGGAGGAAGATACGACGATCCGGTTAGTGCCCACTGAAGCAGACCGCGATATGCAGCAACTCTGCTCATGAACTCATCTTCAACAAAATGTGGCCGTGTTCTGCACCCGTGATTTGCTGAGGGAGGGACTAGTATGGAGGATTGGTGATGGCTCTCGTGTCAATATTCATCATGACAATTGGATTCCACGGAGTGGTTATATGCGGCCACTGGGTCAGGTTTTTATCCAAGGTATTACTAAGGTTGCTGATCTGCTAAGCCCGGATGGCACTGCCTGGGATTGTGCGAAGATCGATGATATGTTCTCGGAGTCAGACGCTTAAGATACTAAGCAAATTGCGGTGGGTGGGCCTGGTACTGAGGATTTTCTTGCCTGGAATTGTACCAAAGATGGATTGTTCTCAGTCCGCTCCGCGTTCCACCCGCAGATGACTTTGAAAAGAGCTCGAATGCACGGATACTTCAGCCGACCAGCGTGACCAGCGTTTCAGTATCGGATACCGTATCGGATACCGATACTCCTCTGATACGCCCCCGATACGTATCCCTGGAGTATCCGAGAATAAATGATTTAAAACAATTACAATACTCGAAGGATACTTTGCCAGTATGTTTTGGATACTTTTCCAGCCCAGGTAAGAGCCCACTCAGCCCAGTTAAAAGGCAACCAGCAACCCTATTGCCCCGATGCCCCCCATCCTTTCCCTCACAGCGTCTTTCCTCCCTCCCGTGCTCACACCAGGCGGCGGCTGTGTCCCCAGCGGCAGCTCACCCAGGTCCCAGGGCCAGCGGCGGCGGCGGCTAGCCGGCGACAAGCTGCTCCTCCTCACCAACATCCCCTATCACACATCAGCCATCTTCCTCCTCACCAACGTCCCCTCTCACGCAGTAGTCATGTATGTACACTTCTCTTCATTTCTCCTGCCCATCCAAGCTCATCTCCTCTTCTTTCTTCTCTGATCTCTGAAGATCTCTTATTCTCATCTCCCCAGATTGCTTTGAGTAGCTACAACGTATCCGTATTGGCACTTTTTTTGAAATGACGAATTTACGTATCCGTATTGGCCCGATACTGATACCCGTATCCGTATCGGTGCATTCGAGGAAAAGAGGGAGCTCGGGACAGCCTGAGTCTTCGTCTTCTATTGATAAACACAAGGCATTTTTGGCGCTGTGGAAGAGAAATGTTCCTGGTAAAGCTAAGATCCACTTCTGGAGGATTCTTCGTAATGGGCTAGCTGTGGGATCAGAACTGCATAGGCGACATATTAAGGCTGGTGTATTCTGTGTTGCTTGTGGTAGGGAAGAGACTATCTGTCATCGGTTCTGGTCTTGCCCTCACTCTGTTCTTTTCTGGAGTTTGCTTCGAAGGGAGAAAGGGATTGGGGTTGCTAGTCCTCCTGTGTGGATGGATTCACAAAGGGAATTGGCCAACTAGCTGTTGGCTTGGCTCACTGGAGCTCGGGATGATGAGCGGGAGGCTATGATCCAGTCGGTTTATGTTCTATGGCTCGCTAGGAATGAAGCACGTGATGGGATTCAGATTGCACCGCCCCATGAAATAATGGAGAGGGTTGTGCATCTTTTGCATGAGTGGAGAGGTATCCATCAGCCTACTGTTAAGGAGAGTGTTGTTCAGAGCAGGCCAAAGTGGGAGGTGCCGGAGGAGGGATGGATAAAGATTAACCCGGATGGCGCCGTGTCTAAATTCGGTGGCAAAGGTGGCGGTGGTGCTGTGCTTCGAGATCATAATGGTGCGTTTATTGCCGGCCTCTCTCATCACTTCCCCCACATTTCTGAACCGGAGGCTACTGAGATACTAGCATGTAAGGAGGCACTGCAGGTAGCTATTAACCTGAACTTTGATCGAGTGCATGTTGAGCTGGACTGCAAATCTGTTGTGCACAAGATCAAGCTTGATCATCAGGATCTCTCCATGGCGGGTCCTTGGATTCGGGAAATTAAGCAGATGCTGAACTCTCGGGTGGATTTTAAGGTCTCGTGGGTTAGTAGATTAGCAAATGCAGCTGCGCATAAGTTAGCTAAGGTTGGAGTTGGGGATGAGTTGTGTAATATCTGGTATGGTGTTCCCCCAGAATGTATCTTGAATGTAATATCGGATGACATTCCGAGCTTTGGTTCTTAAATAAAGTAATGGTATCACCCCTAAAAAAA